AATCCCTGTTGATTTAAGATGTGGTTATTCCCTTTCTCAAAGGATCAACTCTTTTTATGCTGTATACTGATATCTTTCCACAAAGCTGAATGACAGCTGGCTGAGAGACTACTTTTCATTTCCCTGCGCTCAACTTGTACGTCGTCAGCTTGTAACTACACCAGTTTTGACGTCTGAATGTATGGATGTAGGTATGGTGACACAAACCATAGGTGATGTAATGCATCATAGATATCAAGCAGTAAATCTGTCACTATACAGTAACAGCTTTGTGTCCCTTTGCAGTCTGTTTTGATTAAGGTAACCACTTGAATCACTTCTGCATACTACAGTGGTCTGTTCAGTCTAGGACTTTTGGAGTACTGTAACTCTTTTATACTTTGTGCTGCCTTTAAATTTCTTAGTTTGAAAGGAATAACGATATCAGCAAATACACTTCCGAGGCACACAATTATGAATTATTTATTCCACGTTTATCAGCTTTCTTTCCCTAAGTAAATAAAATGTTAAGACATAAAAGCAAAAGGGACTTCAAACATTATAGACTGGATATTTCAAACCAGATGGGTAGTTACTTCATTAAAAGATCTGAAGTCTTGAAAATCTGTGAATATGTATAAGTTTCCCAGTTTTTGCTTAACCACACAAAGTTCAAAATCATTTGAAAATTAACTCACTAAGTCAAAAAAAGTTACCATACAAGAAGTAATGTTTTCTCTGCAGCTTACCTGATTGCATTTATTGTTAAAATGTCAAGAGTACATCAATTTGCTGAAAGAATACAAACAATTGATCCTATGCCAAACAAAATATTAAAACTAATTACTTACCACTTTGGGTAAGTCGGACATCAACATTTCATTAGCACTCTTGTGGATAGATACAATACAATTCTACAAATGTTTTAACATTTGCTTCGTAGAACGCAGTAATTAAATGAGTAAATCATTATTTACAAACAAATAATATAATTTACAAACATTATTTAATTTGTGAGTAAGGCTGTATACCAAATAAATTCAAACAATGTTATTCTAATGCTTGGTTTGGGCAGCTATGTGTCTGACACATATGGAAACCCTTGCTTATGAGCCAAACCAGACAGAGGTCCACATGTGTCTACCAGTTAAACATGGAAATTTCCCTGGGTCATCTGGAATGTATTTTAACGCATGTATTAAGAGCAATGACCATCAACAAATTTAATGGCATAAAAATGATTTACTATTTTACATAACATGTACAATTTCAATTAAACTATTGTTTAAAAAAAGTAACATTTTAAAACCTATTGCATTTCATTTTGGCACTCTTTTTCAACACACCTGAGATACTTAAACAATACCAGATGGTAGCCAGTATAATGCAACAATTCTTTGTTTCAAAGCAATTCTTCATAGTCATCAAAAAGACAGCCAGGAGAAGTCTATTCTATTACAGCGGTTTGAACATAAATAAGTTGTTTTGAAAGGTGAGGGATTTCAAATGACATGAAAGCTGATATAGTAGTTTTGAGCTCATGTGCTGGTCAACAGTGCAATTTAAACATAAGCTTGTTCAGATTCAAAACTTCAAAGAGCAAGATTGTTCAAAGAGGACAATTATTTTAATACTTATAAAAGAAGCGCTTATACTTATAAAGAAGCTGATTGCTTAATTACCCAAATTTAAATGGCAAATGTCTGATGTCCTCATTTTTAAAACAAAATCTTAGATTAGTTAACACCATGCATCCTCCAAAATGTATATGTCTTCCTTGGTAAATTGTCCAACAGCTAAACTGAAGTTGAATTACTAATTTCAACTGCTAAAAGTTTGAAAAGGCAACATCATAAATCAGAACAAATAAATTCTTACATTTGATTCAGTGCTTATGTGGTGAACATCAAAGCGCTTCATAAAGTTTCTGTAGCATTTGGAGGCCAACATGGTAATGTCCCACATAAACCATCAATCGAATAAACCACCAATTTGATCTGGAGGATTGCTGACAAGGAGCCAGTGCGAAACTCCCTTAGACGTCACTTCTGACAAAACAATGGAGTGTCAGTCGAGACTGTGAATTCAAATTAGCCATCAATTGGCTCATTTAGAATTCAATCCCATCACAAATGCAAGTACAGGAAAATAATATGTTAACAAGAGACAAGTATTGCAATGCACATTTCCCATATAGCTCGTTAGCTCCACAATTGTGCAGTATATGTGATAAACAATCTCTCCATGAAATGTTTACAACATAGAAAAATAAACATTGCAGTGTGTCCATTTCAGTGTTACTATGATTCCATTTCAATTCACGTTATTCCACTGGATTCTTCAAATCCACACTAACCATTTGAGAACTTTGTTGCAGTTGTCGGAGACAAATTCCAGAAAATATAGTGAAGTAGTGAATTCTCCAAATGCTGTTAAAATTTACAGATGACAGTTTGCCATAAATAAAAAAATCCAACTTAGATTAACTATGGAAACATACAATCGAAGGAATAAAACTTTCAAGCAATGCAAAAGTGTTTTTTGGAGTTATTGGGGAGGGGAATAGCCAACTCAAACCAATGCATTTCTTGTTTCAATACAGTACTGAATATTGAAACCCAATTGTTTTAAAGTTAAAATATACTCAACTGTCAATATGTCAATATCCATTGAAAATAGTCCTTACATAAAATGAACTATTCAGTCATTTATTGAATAACCATTGCTATGCTGGAAGGGCAGTGGGTGAGCAAAATGTCTAATTGAGTTTTTGCTTGCTGGTGGTGGCACACAGCATGCAAGCAGGTAGGAATGTGGATTGAGCAAGTGGAAATGCAACAAAAAAAATTAAAAAAGGTGAGCCCTGTCAGTTTGCTTGAGTGCAGTACATCTTTGAGAGGGGTCTGATGGTTTACTTCCTCTCCTCCTTGAAGAATGCAGGGGAGCCTATAAATAAGGCAGGCCAGCAAGCTTCAAAGAAAAGATAAGTTTGCATCATGAGGAGTCAATATTCAGTGGTGCCCACACTCATACCTTTGAACGTCTGTATATTTAACTTTTCTATGATCCAATTAACACTGGCAAAAAAGTGCTTCAATCTCGGTGCTGATGAAGTGACAACACAGAACCTGCCAGCTTCAAAGGAAAGTAAACATCGGAATTGAGAACAAGTTTATCTTAAGTTCTCCTTGCCATATTATCCCCCACTCAAAAAAAAACTTAATTCAGCATCACCTCTGATGGCTGAAGAAAATTCAGTATTTGAAATTCCCGACCAAACAAACTCCATCTATCATACTAATGCCGTCTGGCGCTACAATGTGAAACCCCTAATATGCATGGTCTGAGTAATTTCAAAATGGTCTTGTAAATGCAAGTGGAAAATAAACTTCATCCAAGTGCATTATCGTCACAGCTCCCAACCCCCATCAGTGGTACCAAATGGCAAAACCCAGGAAAGCTGCCTTTGAATAACAGGAAACGTATAAGGCATCTGTCACCTCCCGGGGAGAAGAAAATGGATTAGAGAGACCGACAAAGAGAAGCCACTGGGAAGAGTTGCCTCTCAATATGCAACTGATTTAACACATGCGCTGCAATCTGCAACACTGGGGGCTCTCCCCTACAGTGAGCAAACCAGACAGACACACTGCAACGTGACTTTAAAACGCTTATCAAACCACCAGCCGAGGGAATGATCCCAGTGTGCAGATCGCAAGCGTTAAGTCGAACCATTCGCTCTCCATTCCGTTTGAAATGCATCCAATGCCAGGAAACTAAGTAAGCACCAAGGAAGTTTCCAGAGAAGGCGGATTTATGTTTTTTTATGGGGGGGGGTCAGCAACAGCTCATTAATTTCACGCCATTTAGATCCCCAGAATAGCATGAAATGTGCCAGCATGTCATGGCATTCCGGTATCCTTTTCTTAGGCGTGAAATGTGCTGTGCACAAGGACGCCGACGACATGAGAACACAAAATAACTTGCAGCCTTTTGTCAAAGTCAGATTACCAAAGGCTGCGGTGCCACTAATTTCATCGCAATGTCTGCGCTGTTAAATAAAATACAGGAAATCGCTCCACTAAAATGAGCTTTAAATGAATGCAATTACCATAATCCCCCGGGTACTAAAGTTCCACGTTCAAACCCCCCCCCCCACCCCCCACCCCCAAAAAAAAAATCCAAAATGCAACAGGAGACTTCTCATCGAAGGTTTTCTGGTACCAGACGGAAATCTGGTGAGAAATGCAACTCGCAAACGGGAGTCAGACGTTAATAACTTGAGTTGAAGCAAAAACCTTTTTTTTTAAAAAAAAAACCCTCCACTGCGAGTTAAAAAAACCAAGTGCGATGCCTCCCGAATCCAAACGCGCATCGAGAGGGGCAAAGCAGCGAAAGGGAATGAAAAACTATTCCAGTTCGCCTTCTGTTTGCAGTGAGCACACGAGGGGAGAAAGAAAGCGACTGAGTATTTCGTCTCTTTCTTTACTTTAAACGCTGCCCTCACACACACACACACACACACAGCCGAGGAGACCGCTTCCCTGAAAACCAGCCATGGACCGTAAGCTCTGCAACTCTGCTTTCAAACTCAGTAGTGAGGGGGAGTGGAGGAACACCGCCTCAAACACACACCGATATTTCCGCTCCTGTGTATTCCGTATGGAAACGTTTTTGCTTATGGACGATCCATCCTCCGCTTCTGGACTTCCAACAGCTCTCCCGCTCCACACTCACACACTCACTCTCTCACACACTCACTCACTCACACCACTCACTCACTCACTCACTCACACACTCACTCACTCACTCACTCACATCACTCACCACCACTCCTCCACTCACTCCACACACTCACTCCACTCACACACACCACTCTCACACACTCACTCCACTCACTCACTCACACTCACTCACTCACCTCACTCACTCACACACTCACTCACACACTCACTCACACACTCACTCACACAAACGGGCAACTTTTTCCTCGTTTTTTTTTCAACAAAAAAACCCTTTACCTGTGGCGATCCCTCCAAACAGCGCGCAGCACACGAACAGCGTCAGCTCCAAGTGCCCCCCGAGCAGCAGCGACTTTATCCCGACTTTGTACATCACTCCCGTTAAAAAGGTGCGACACACACACACACACAGAGGGACACAGAGGGACGGAGAGGGAGAGAGACCAGACCCGAGGAGCCACTTTGGTCCGTGTGGCATCCAAAGTCAGTCAGTGCGCGAGAGGGAGGGAGCGAGTGAGTGAGTGTGAGAGTGAGTGAGTGAGTGTGAGAGTGAGTGAGTGTATCACAGTTGCGTTGGGTTTTGCGGAGCTCCGGACGGTGCGCTGCTCCGCGGGGTGGGGGCGGGCGGTGGGGGGGGGGGCGGGTGGGCGGGGGCGCGGTCAGGACCCGCTGCCCTGCAACATCCTCGCGGGGCGGCGGCGGCGGCGGCGACACGGGAGCGGAGCGGAGCGCGCGGGTCCGGTCCGGTCCTCACTCTACACACACACACCCCCCACCCCCCCCCCCCGAGCCCGGCAGTGCGCGTGCGCAGGTACCCCGAGCAGCGGAGAGAGAGGGGGAGAGAGAGAGGGAGAGAGGGCACTGTCCGGAGTTGGGATGGTTTCACGCCCCCCAATTGGGTGTGTGTTTGTGTGGGGTTTCCCCCCCCCCCCCCGCGGGTGGTCCTACTGGGACTGTCCCCGTGCGTCAAAGAACCCGCTTTTCTTTCTTTCTTTCTTTTTTTCCTTTTCTTTTTTTTCTCTTTTTTTTTACAACACTTAAAAATCGTCATTTGAAAATTCAGGTGAAAGTTTTTTTTTCCCCCTCTCTCGTTTTCTAACTGCGGGGGACGGGGAGAGAGGGAGAGGGAGGGAGGGAGGGGGGTGTGGGGGAGGGAGGGGGGGGTGTGGGGGAGGGAGGGGGGGGGGTGGGGGGGAGGGAGGGGGGGTGTGGGAGGGAGGGAGGGGGGGTGTGGGGGGAGGGAGGGAGGGGGGTGTGGGGGGAGGGAGGGGGGGTGGGGGGAGGGAGGGGGGGGTGGGGGAGGGAGGGGGGGGGGAGGGGGGGAGGGGGGGGGGGTGTGGGGGGGGGGACACGGTTTGCAAAATGCAATGGTTTTAAATGAATTTTAAACCTGCAATGCATACGTGTTATTTTTGCCTCTTGTTTTGCCTTTTAAAGACTTTTTTTTTAACACACACACACACACACAAACACACCACACACACAGTCTCAAAAAGCAGTTCGGGCCGCTCTGCTGACCCGCATAGTGGAGGATAATTGGAGCACAATGTTGGGCTACTGTCGGGTTTAGTGTTTGGTCGACTTCGGTCCCGCAGACGTTGTTGCACTTTCTGGTTAACTTTCTCGCCGCCTCTGCCAAGTGTTCATAGCGCATCCTGGTGGCGAGCAGAGCAGCAGAGGGGCCAGAATCGTCCTGAACCTCACTCGCCTCCTGGAATGATCATCAACAACAACAACAAGATTGCATTTATAGAGCGCCTTTCACGTCGGGAAGACGTCCCGAGGCGCTGTGCAGTTGGGTCAAGACCCGAGCCTTGGGGGGGAATGGTCAGGGTGAGGGGAGGGAAGGGAGGGAGCGAGGAGGGCGTAATAATAATAATAATAATAATCCTTGCATTTTGATATAGCGCTTTTCACGTCGGGAGGACGTCCCAAAGCGCTTCACAGAACACACTGTAAAGTGAATTGACTGTATATTTGTGGGCGAACGCGGCAGCCAATTGCGCACAGCGATGTCCCACAAACAGTCGTAGATTGAAAATGACCACTTTATTATTGTTTTTGGTTTTGGAGGGATTATTATTAGGCTCTGTGTGGAGTAAGGAAACTTGCCCAAGGTTTCGCCCTCTGCCTGGAATTGAACTCAGGTCTCTCGCTTGCAAAGCAAGTGCTCTAACCACTGAGCTACAGGACTCCACAGGGTAGAGAGTCGAGAGGGGAGCTGAAGGCACGGTCGAAGAGAAAGGTCTTGAGACCGGCCTTGAAGGAGGAAAGGGAGGAGGCGGCGAAGGCACTGGGGGATAGAGTTCCAGAGCCTCGGGGCTGAGAGGCGGAGAGCCCGGCCACCGATGGTAGGGCGGTTGGGGCGGGGGATGTGGAGCAGACCGGAGCCAGAGGAACGGAGGGTATGGGCAGGTACGTAGGGGGATAGTAGGTCAGAGAGGTAGGAGGGAGCAAGGCCGTGAATGGCCTTATAGGTGAGGATGAGGATCTTGAATTCGATCCTCTGGGGGATGGGGAGCCAGTGGAGGCGAGCGAGGGTGGGAGTGATGTGGTCCTGGTGCCGGACAGTACACGAGCTGCAGAGTTCTGAATGACCTGCAGCTTGTGGAGGGAGGTGCCGGGAAGGCCGGCGAGGAGAGAGTTCCCATAGTCCAACTCCATAAAACTCCATAATCGCCCGTTACATGTGCTGCTGACTGTAAACCCTCTGAGGTTGTGCAGGGCTAAGGCACCCGGTATTCAGGTGGTACTCCTTGCCAGGTAGCAACTACAACAACAACTTGCTTTTCAATAGCGCTCTCCACGCCAGGCGGCATCAGAGAGTGCTTAACAATGGTGCAGCCCGACGCCGAGCCACGGGGAGGGGGAAGGTTGACCATAGGCACAGCCGCCGACAGTGGAGCGGGGGATTCGATGGACATGGAGGAGGCCGGATCCAGTAGAACGGTGGCAGCGGGTACTGCTGTGGGGAACGAGAAGGTTAGAGAGATGGGGGGATGACAAGGAATGGAGGGATTTAAACACTAGAGTGAGGATCTTGTAGTCGATCGGTTCTGTGACAGGGAGCCAGTAGAGTTGGCAAGGATTGGGATAATCCCGGTGCAGAGTTTGGTGCGGGTAAGAATGCAGCACGCAGAGTTTTGGATGAGTTGAATTTTGTGAATATTGGAGGGGGGTAGACCGTCGAGGAGGGGGGGTTAGAGTAGTCCAGCCGAAATGAAATGAAAGGCGTAGACAAGGGTTTCGGCAGCTTTTGGGGTAAGGTATTGTCAGAGAAGGGCAATGTGGCGGAAGTGGAGAAAAGCAGTCCTGGTCAGGGACCAGATGTGGGGCCGGAAGGATAACTGGGGATCAAACCTGATGCCTAAGTTGCGCACGGATTCAGAGAGTTTTAAGGACTGATCAGGTCGGTTGAGGAGATCTGAACCGCAGGACAGAAGATGTCGACAGCAGCCAAAGATATGGCTTCTATCTTGTTGACATTTTAGAGCCCTGGTCACAGATAGAGAGGACATCGTTTGTGACTTTCACGAGCCCTGTCTCTGTACCTTGGGCAGGGCAGAAACCGGACTGGAGGGGTTTGAGTTGGGAGTGGAGGGAGAGGTGTGTGCAAAGTTGGTTGGCAACAACATATTTCAAAGCTTTGACCAGGAAGGGCAGGTTTGAGGTAGGGCGAAAGTGTACGAGGTTGGAGGGATCGAGGGTAGGGTTTTTAAGGAGGGGGGAGGGTCTTGCGTAATGAGTGGGTGATGGGGCAGTCGGGGTGGCTGCTATGGGACAACCAATGACTGTGCCATAAAGAGCATGGAGAAGGATGCTCAGGCTGGAGCAGAGGGAGGCAGGAGAGAGAGAAGGCGAGGAAGGTGATAGGGGAGGAGAATAGAGGTCGCATAGTGAGGGGTGGGGAGTAGAGTTTTGGGCATATTGGGGGGAAAGGCTCGGGTCGGGAGCAGCAGCCAGTACGTGCAACCCTGGACTTGTAGCGAGCGGTCGACGTTTCCTATTGGTCATGTGAAGAAGAGAAAAAACCACAAATGTAAAGTGCAACACCACCTGTTGAAAATTACAGCCTTTATGGAAATGATTACAAAGCAGGAATGCTATCACAGAGGGGGCGAGGAGCGTGTTATAAGCTGGGGGGTTTAAAGTAGTGGCGTAGCTAGGAATGGAAATTTGGGTGGGCACCAATTTATGGAGAGCAATTATACACAGTGTTATAACAACAACAAGAGACATGGAGTCCTGTAGTTCAGTGGTTAGAGCACTCGCTTCTCAAGTGAGAAACCTGGGTTCACTTCCCGGCAGGTCGAAACGTTGGGCAAGTTTCCTTACTCCACATGCCCCTGTTTGCCTAGCAGTAAGTTGGAACCCGGTTATTACTTGATTGGCGGTTGGCTTTTCTGGGGGTAATAATTCCTTCAAAAAAAATTGGTCACTCAATCCACGACTGTTTGTGGGACACTGCTGTGTGCAATTGGCTGCCGCATTTCGCCCACAAAGTATACAGGCAATTCACTTTACAGTATATTCTGTGAAGCGCTTTGAGATGTCTCGAAGACGTAATAAGGCTCATTATTGTTGTTATTAACAAATTACATTTATATAGCGCTTTTCACATTGGGAGGCATCCCAAAGCGCTGGGACATACACACTTATTTACCGCTTGAGCTCTCTTTCCGTTGCGACATTGCAGTGAGCGACGGGTGGACCTGGGAGCTAATTAGGTGGGGCTACGAACCCCTGGTTTAAAAGGAATATTCACTTTCAAGGGAAATGGGCTGTGGATTATGTACACACAACAGAGGTAGTGTAGTTCAGAAAGCATTTGAACATCCTAGCCTCTGGAACCAGGGCTCGTGAAGACATGATTCAGGTCTGCGTTGTCCTTTGACAGTTTGGGGCCTAAGAGAGTTTGGGAGGATTAGGGCTTGCTTGTGGGGACAGCTCTCGTTCCCTAAGTGGAATCTATGGGCCTAATTCGGCTAACGGGGGTGCGCAGGCCTAACTGCGCTCATTTTTTTAAAAATTGCGTTTTCTCCAGGGACAGCCCTCCCACCCCAACCAGCTAAACCAACCTATGGGACTCTGGCTCCAAGGAGCTCTCCAACCTAAGCCTCAGTGACCTGACATATAGGGCTTCCCTGTACAATGCCAAGTTTATGTCAAGGGAGTTATTCTTGGAAGTTACACTGTTCAAGTACTTTTATCAATCCTGTTGTTAATATTACATTATAAAGAAAAGTTTGCCACATGTGTCAGGTTGGCTCAGTTGCTTGAACTCCCACCTCTGAGCCAGAAGGTTATGGATTCAAGCCCTAAATCAGGATTTTGAAATCATAGTCTAAGCTGTCACACTAATGGAGTGTTGGGGTTTGCTGCGCTGTTGGAGGTACAGTTCTTCAGATGACGTTAAACTGAGTTCTCATCTGCCTGTTCAGGTGGATGGTAAAATCCCATGGCATTACCCAAAAAGAGAAGGGAGTTTTTCCTGGTGTCCTGGCC